TCCCCCCCCCTCCACCCATTTCCACTTCCTTAAAACGAAAACTTATCAATACCATCTAGGTTTGTGCTCTTTTGGATAACGGAACTGTTATATTCAACGGGGCAACTTTCGCTAATAACAGCTCAATGAGAGATGAATCATCAGCATGTCAACGCTCTGGGTCCATTTGCGTTTGCGTGTGTACATTGCCTGAAAACGGTCGACCAATGCGGAACACCAGTTGTTTGTGAGGGACTGATTAGTTCCAGCGTTTTTGACAACAGTAACAGTCTTTTACGGTATTCATATTCAATGATACCGACAATTTTCAGGAGTGGGGCTACGGCTACTGGAATGTAACGCGGATGCATATATAAGTGAGATTGAAAGGTGGCGGGGATCGGATTTTAAATCAAGACATCTGGGTCGTTGTACCGTTAACCTAACTCGTTGCCTATCGTCACCCACAAGATTGTTTTCAATGATTCCTTTTCTCACCATTTGTATAACCAGTACTAATTGGAGCTGAGAGAACACAAAAATAAACAAAATTAACATGAAAAGCTTAGTATTATTTCCAGTTCCCGCTTTGCTGAAGCTTTGTTTGTCCAATTAGCTCTTATTGCACAATAAAGGCGTTTCAAAACTTCCTATTTTGTTCCGAAGGAATATCATAACAATCCATTTAAATAATTGTTGTAATTTAGTTCAGTCCAAAATTGATACAACAAAATCTAAACTGGAAAAATATACATCTACTTGTCACTACAATAGGAAAGTTCTCTGTGATCTATCTGTTTTATGGTGAACGTTGTCAGTGCTTTCCTTGTGCGATTAAATGCATTATTTATTATCGATCTAGTGTGCTGTCCTCTAATTTGTTCCTATTAACTAATATGTTCACTCTCTGTTCTGACTGCGCAAAGCTTGAAGCGATGGAAGATCATCGAGTCCGCGAGATGTTGACTCATCAGTTCCGACTGGCCGAAGAGAAAGCTCAACTCGAAACAGAACAGCGACGTCAAAAGCAAAGAGCCCACGCTGAAGCCACTCGTCAGTTGCTGATTGATCGACGAGCACGTTTGGAAGCGGAGTGTCGGCAAGCAAAAGAGGAACTGGAACGCGAATCTGAACGTACCAAAGCGGAACAACGAATTATGGAAGAAGAACGGGTTCGGTTGTTACGTGACCACGTCCCCGAACTCTTGGGCTATTTGCCACGGGTAGGTATAAGTAATGCTTGTCTTGGTCTCGGTAGTAGTTGGACGCGAGATGCATCACATTGCTCAAGTCAACTTTGAATCGACTGTCAAATGTGCTTATTGTCATTTAACCAAAATCAAATACCCTTCAAGAGTATTTATGCGTTCAGCATAGGCTCTGTCAAATTACATTTATTAGTATTTCCAGGTGTAGTCAACCGAAAAAGGGTCGCGATGAAGAAAGCATAACACCCCGAACTTAGGTTTGGTACCAAATAATTCAAACAAACTAAAATTCATATAAAAATGTTTTCTTTAGTGGAGCTTTGTTCCTCCGATAAAAGATACTCAGTGCAATATAAAATCCAAGAATTCCTTATTTTCATTGTAGGCTAACGCTGAAATTTGGTTTCAGTTATTGCTTCGATACACTTGACTTCTTCCTAACTGTCCTCCTCCCAAACCGGGCAGGGTCATCCTCATAGGGATTCACCTCATTTTGTTTATATTCGATTCCAGTCCCTAAGTCTCTATACTCCACCAGTCTCGGAAAATAGTAGGTGAGTCATTAATATATGTATCCCTAAATCAGCCTTGAAACTGACCACCGGTTGTTGTGTACAAAGACGACGTAATAACGATAAGACCGTGAGTCAAACGAAACGCGCAATGAAGTAGATCACGTGCAGAAATCGTAACAACCCAGTTATGATATGCAAGGACCGACCCCAGATCTGAATTTAATCCAAACACACTGACAGGAGGTTGACTCCGGGCTACGCAGTACGAGCTCTTGCAACACTAGCGTCGTTCCAAATGGTCACACAATTACTGGCAACTCACCGACGCTCTCAGTACACAGCAGGTAGGACACACTTCTCACAGTAGTTTCTCCGTGGAGGGGGATTCCAGTCACCTGCAAGACAGGGAAAATACAAAAAGCAATCATGATCCAAAAGGTTAAGCTGGGGAGACATGCACACGACTCACACTAAATTCAAAATGGCTGCGCCCGTGCTTCTACTACACCAATGATCGAGTGAGTGCAATACCGATGAATACACCCACACTGCGGTATATATCGCAATTCCCAATACAACCGGAAGAACGCCCCGCGAGAGTAGTACAGCCCCGGAACCCGACCAGAGAGAAGACGGAAGACAGGCCTTCATATGAGGTTGTATATTTGGCTCGACCTAAAATGCGATGAATGCGAACAACTCATCTGTTCACGTACAGTTTCTGGGACGGTCAACTGTAACCTTGAAAATTAGCTCGAAAGTACAGAGTTATGAAAGAATGGACCAATCAGGATCAACCGCGTAATCGGTGATGTAAACTGAGTTGTTTCCGGCGCGAAAATTTTGAAATGTAAATTTTATTAAAATTATTAGGAAAATAGGGAGAAGAAAAGACAAACCGTCACTTTTATACGGTAAAATGTGCTTTTCCCTATTAAATATGCACAGTGTGAATCAGTTATTGTCTTGGCTATGGTGCACACAACGTGAAGTTAGTTCAAATATTGAAACCCGATCGGCACAAAACTAGTAAGTTACCCACATTTTTCCGACGCCCATGTGCTAATCGACCACGGGCCGTATGGCGATATATACAATAACCGATTTGGTAAATTGAACTGAGATAGAATTGGGATGCTAATTGCCAGGCATGGAAGAGATTTTGAAATTGAAAAACGTTTTTACACAAAGAAAACCTGTTATTTTACAGCTGCAATGCTCCTAACTTTGTTTTATGGCAGAACAGTAGTGTTGAACTGAATATAGGGTTACCAGCTATAATATAAATTGCCACCACTAACACCATTACAGTGTCCAGAGCTCTTTGTCGGTCATCGCAAAAACCTTTCCGTAGCAAACACGTGTGGAGTAGACTAAAGGAACTCGCATGTGATAAAATAGGCACCCCTAAAAAACAAAAGAATCATTCGCCAGTGTCTGCAAAATCAAATAGTCTAGTAGTCTAACCGCAACCTTTCGAACACGCATCTTCCAACATGTGTATTGGTGAATCCGGAGCGATAGACAGCACTGAGAATATGAAGGTGGTTGACCACAGCCGTCAGTTAAACACAATTCGTAACAGTTTTTCCTTTCAGATTAAGCTTGCTGGCCATTGGGTATGTACAAAACAGATATTTGACAAATATTTTCTGCAAAGGAATAGTTATTCATTCCATATCTCGGTAATGTAGGGAAAGGTATGAAGTTCGGAGGTAACAAATATGTTTCAGATTTATCTAAATAGCATGCATTCTGGCTATGCATTCTGATATCTGAATACTTTACTGAAACAAATGATATTTAGAACAGTTTTGTTTAATTTACCTGTCGGAAATGTTAATTCTGCTGCACCTGAGATGAAGAGTTGCTCTGAGGGCTCGTCTTATACTCAATGACATTCAATAATAATCGTTTTATATGTAATGCACGACTGTTAAAAGTCGGTTCTTCAGGAAATGCTCTCAATATATTTTCTCTAGTCCACTGGACACGAATCACATTTGGGAAGGAATTACATGCGTTTATATATAACCCTGCACCAATCAGATTGTTTGACGGGCATAATTAAAGTCTTACACAGACAAATCATAAGAACACGCGCGCGTTCGAACTTGACGTGGAATTCAGGTCGTTCAGTTTTTNTAAAAGTCGGTTCTTCAGGAAATGCTCTCAATATATTTTCTCTAGTCCACTGGACACGAATCACATTTGGGAAGGGAATCACCGGCGTTTATATATAACTGTGAACCAATCAGATTGTTCGGCGGGTAAAATTGAAGTTTTATACGAACCAATCATAAAAACACAATTGATGCATTAAAACAAACGATCAATTCAAGCAATTTCCAACACAAAAACCAAAAGATTTCAATGACTAGGGAATACAGTGTGGAAAACTGAATGTTATCAGTACACAAAACACCAATCCGGTTGTTTGAGGCACTGATCTGGAAACTGTACTGGCAAAGATTGAAATGTCAGTCAAGGCAGCCTTATTATTTATGCAGTCAGTGCTTGAGATACCATATTCGGTTGACTTGTCTCCTATATCAGCACATCCGTGTTGTCCAATGGAACGCTGTCTGCCTCTCCGGTCGGCCATAGCCAGGCAAAAGATGATAACACAGGTATTTTGCTCAATGTGCATTAGAAAATCTGTCATAGGTGGGCTAGCATCCAGAGACGATGACTTATCGCAATCAGTAAACCAAAGAAACGTGAAGGTCACAGTCCATGATGGAGTGATTAATTAATTGGTATGCAAAAACCACGAAACAGATCTAATCAATAATGAGAGGATCTCCTATTTTGCAAAACCAAGATGTTTTTGCACAGTGGAATGTATTAATTCAGCGGCCTTTTGAACTTACCGCCTGACCAATCAAGTCAAGAAAAGATTTATGCACTCAAAGGGGGGGGGGAATTTCAGCAATTTACGAACTTTTACAGTGATATGTCAAACAAATTGCAATTAACAGAATACTAATAAATTAACAAATTATATACTGTAGTAAATGAGAAAAAATTAGTGCAACACTCTTTTCCTGAGGTGGGTGACAATTTTCTTACGATTAACTTTAACGAGACAAGCGATCTAGAAAACAAGGTGAAATCTTTTTCCTTCAAACTAGGGATATCAACAACTTCAACTAAGTCATTAGGGTTGACAGATCCCAAAAAGGCTCAATGGGGCAGATCCCATGTGGTTGTGAATTAGTCTATCAGCAGAGTTCGTGGAAATTTGTAAAATATGAACCTCAGGTATTCGGAACCGACGAACACTGAGGTCAGTAATTCAAATCATCTGACCACCACCACCAAATCTGCTCTAACATTATCAGACAATCTTCTTGAGTGAAAACTGCATTGGAATTGAGAACGTGATTTTTTACTGAAAACGTGCATGGTGTTCCAATCCAAGTTCTAATTTGCATGGTAGATTGTGCAAATCAGGAAAACCCGTTTATTCTCTGACTAGCGAGCAGTTATCACTTTTGTTCAATATTGTTCACATTCCGTTGATCTATTGATCAGAAAGTGTTTTTATTGTAATTCAATTTTTGTAAAGAAGCTTTCTGATCTTTCGCAAAGCCCGTTTCATCTTTCAACGTCAGGCGAAGTAATCTATGCTTCAAGGCTCACGACGAGGACGATTGCCAAAATGGGTGTAGGTTACTGTCCGAGGGAATGTCGATACCCATTTAAGCTTAGATTTGCAGTCCGTCAGCCGTACTGATCTCTGCATCACTGTTACTCTTGGTACATTCAAATCAAGTCAATCTAGTTGATTGATAATCTGTTTAATTTGCTTGATTGAGAAGTTAGTACTCAATAAACGAAAGTTATGCTGACAGTTATCACCCATAGTAGCTATCTCGTAAATTCCTATCAGAGTAGGGGGTGCAATCACTGATACAAATGAATATTTTCACATAGAAAAATATGGGTAAATATTGTCGCAAGACAGATGTCTATTGACGAATACCAACCCCAAAGTCAGAATCTCTTAAAAGTAATCTTATGAAAATAATTAACTGTAAACTGTGATATATATATATATATATGCGGTGACCACTCCAAGAAAAACTTGACACAGCTTATCAATAGTCGATGGAAAATGATATTTGATTCCATGTTTCTAAATGCAAAGTTATATTCCAACACGCTGGAGTAGATTCCTATATTTCGTCGGAAATCAACAGCTGCTACTGCTTTTAAGTAAAAGAAACCTAGGTCTGCTTTTTCAAGAGGACTTGAGCTGCTTACTCAGCTGCGCCAAGGCTGTAATGAACGTCAGCTTCCTTAGGCACGTCTTTGGTCGGTGTAAATCAGCATTGTTCCGACTTTTACTATCAGTGAACGTTCAACCGTATACAACAGAGCAAGCCATTCAAGCCTGGAGACCTTGTTCACAACCAGGGTGTAAGACGCTGGGGTGTCCACGAAGGACTGCTACCACGATGATCAAGGGATTGTACTGCCTCACCTACGGGGGCGGATTACGATCATTGATACTTTATTTTACTCAGTACCACCGACTTCGAGAAGGCTTGATTTCGGTATCCCAAATATTGCAGAACTCAAACCACGTTTGTTGTCCGCTACTCAGGTTGTGGCCCAACATATACTTTGGGCGACATCATTTCAAGTTGCTGCCACCTGGAATGCCGACATCAGTTGTTTGCAATCTGAGTGTGCACCACTTGGAACGCTGTAGCTCACATCGTTTGTGCGCCAACTGTTGAATCTTTCAAGCGGAGACCTGTGGAAACCCTGGTAAACCTTATTTTTATATATCTAAAGAGCAAATTATAGTTGAAAACTACATTATATGTTATTTCCCGCCCGGAACTATTTGCGAAGTTTATCATTTTTCCCGAGAAACGATTCAGTTATGTAAATGTCCTATGGAGACAAGAGAAGCATCAGTTTGCAAGTAGTTCCCATCATAAGACTTTAACTTTGACTTTAAAATAAAACGTTTTCAAGCTATGGGTGATTTTACCAGGCAAAAGAGATTTATGTGAGACAACGTAGCTAGCGGTTATCTATCTGCTTATTGATATATATATATATATATATATATATATATATATTCACACACGTCTGAATCCAGACTGTGTGGGGAAAAAACGGTCTCAATCCGGAGTTGTTGATTGCACCAAAAGGAAACAAAGGAATTTAGACGCACTCATATAAGCTTGTGCCTGAAGATTTGTATGAACAGAAAGGAATAGTGACTCAAATCCTACCGGAAACGGGCATTGAAATCAAGATGTGCAAAACGCCTGCCACATTTGGATCATTATAAGTGGAAGAAAAACTTTGTTGTGTTGAATCTGTTCCCTATCTGGATCACAAATTTAACAGAAT